AAAAAATTTCTCACTGAACAGCTGGGTTACTTTTAAAGAACGACAGTTAAATGGTAAAGCAACAGCCATTCATACAATTAATGGTTTAAGTAATTCAAGTCCGGTGCAAAAATGCATGATCGCACGGGCGCGCCCAGAGCGTTTCAGCCTGGGTTCTACCTTTGGAAGCTACAGATTTTTATGCGTTTTTGCTGTGCAACGTTATAGCGCTGCTACAGCCAGCAAAAATACATATTGTCGAGAGGTCGTCTGTGTGTGTTTGTGTGTGTGTGTGTGTGGAAGCGAGTGCGTTTTGTCACTCACTTTCATCTCAGCAACCAGGAAAGCTGGGAGGCTAAAATTCCGGGTATATGTTTCTACCCTCTCTGCCACCTCTCCCCCACACGCCTAGACCCCGCTCGCGGACTCCCCAAAAAAATATGCAAACTCCTTTGGCGGGAAACGATTTCGCGAACCAGGCGAGGTACAAAGCTGAAATTTTGCAGAGATGTTCTCCGTGCATTTGCGAACTAAATATTTCAAATTTACTTGTCGCGCACGCTTGTGAAGCGCGTACGATCATGTCAATGTTGCAACTTGGTACTGTCTTAACTTGAAAAATTGCCGGAAAACAGTGGCTGAAATTTTGTTAGCATACTTGTCGTTCATATAGAAAACCGTCTGCCTAAAATGAGTACCGATTTGTACTTGTGCCACGATATAGAGCACTTAAAATTTCGCAAAAAAATTTTCGCTTACCGAGTAAGATGCGAGACTGAAACTTCGCGGTCTTAATTTTGCTTGGAAGTGAAATTCCCTCCAGGTAGGCGCGAAAAATAATCAACTTTACCAAAAAACCAGGGGCAAGCGCGTTTGCAACGAACGACCACCCTCATCAGAATATGTAAATGAACATTCAATTCATCTGCGTACTTGGATTTCTTGACAAACGACCTCTCGAGCAACAATTTCACTTTTTAGTGAACTAGAAATTTGCATTTTTATGCGCTTCTGCTGCGCAGGGCTGCTAGTGTGTGTGTGTGTCTGTCTGTGTGTGTGTCTGTGTGTGTGGATGTACGTGTGCGCATATGTATGTATATGAGTGTTCTCACTTTTGATCTACTTTCAAATCAGCAACCGGTTGAGCTAGAAGCTGAAATTTCTGGAGCACGCTCCCACTGCATGTGGGATGGTCTATTTTTAAAATCACCGTTCAGCATGTCTAGGTCTCGAGTATGGTTATGCAAGAAAATTATGTAAATTTTTTGGTAGGAAAGCGATTTCGAAGACCGGGCAAAACAGGAAGATAAAACTTCACAAGACGGCCCTTAAGTAGGTTAAACTTTTTAAATTCAGCTCGGACATATGCGTGCGTCTTGTGTTCGGGCGTGGCAAACTATTTTTGGCAGGAAAGCTATTTTGGGAGCTAGTCGAGCTAAGAATTTGAAATTTTTCGAGTATATGACTAACCGTGACTGAAACATTTAAAAATCATAATGCAAGGTCAATATCTTGCTTATGAGCAGGTGACACTTCTAGCTGGAATGCTCTCGACATCCATTTAACACGCGAATCAGACTTTTCCGACTCACATTACGATATTCATCATTTGACAGCTGTAATTTTATAAAGTTATTTGTAATGTATGTGCGAACCCGCAAGCGATCGCTCGTGTCTCGTGCTTGGACGCACCAGGTGTTACTTGTTGTAGGCAAACTTCTTGTGAACATTTGTTAGTATGCTGAATTTTTATGCTTTTTTGCATATTTGCAAATGCAAAAACGTGTATTGGCATGAAGCTGTGCTTGTATGTCCGCACTTTCTGTCATCCACCTTTTACTCGAAGGCCAAAAAGCCAGAAAACTGAAACTTCGAAGGTATGTGCCCCCCCATTTTCGACCCTCCCGCTGTAATACTGTCATTCGCATACGCCTGGTTACCACGCACGGCTTTCTTCAAAGAATAAGCAAATGTTTTGGCGAAAGCGATCTTGGAAATCGGATTGAATTGAAAACTGAAATTTCACAGAGATGTTCTATTCCCTTGTGTGGGTTTAGGATTTCAAACTCAGCTCTTATGATTTTGCGATCGATGGCGAGATTTCAGTTCAGGAACCAGGTCAACCAAAACGTTCTAACTTTATGAGAGCATTTGTTTGCCATAATTGGCCATATAGGCATAAAATGAGCTTTGGCATGCATAGGTTTGAGTTTCGATACGTTAAAAATTTCACTTAAAAAACGATTTGGTGACCAGGAATGCTAGAGAGCTAAAACTTTACGAGGATATTCGATATCTATGTGCAACCGCAGTATTTCAATTTGAACTTTAGAGCTCGCTTACACTTGTGCCCCAAGTGATTGTTTTTTTTTTTTT